CATTGGTACCATTCGTTTCTTGAGACTTCAACAAACACTTCATCTTCGTGCAAAAGAACGCTTCAAACCACACTCCGTGAAGCACTCTGTCCCACTTTCAATCTAACAACAACCCATTATTTTCATCGCCGGTATGTAATTCTGATACAAACCCTATCGGGAATACATAGGGTATACTGACGCGTAAGATGGGAAAGCGTATGACAATGTTCAGCCGCTAAGAAATACCATTACAAAGGAGTGGAAAACTCTACCGCCTCTGCTGCATAGAATGCGCTGATTCAAAATCTGATTTCAGTCCCAAGCTCACTGAGAAGAAGGAACGCTGCCCTCATACTTAGGTGGGAGGAGCAGACTTTAGGTCTTGTTTTATGAACCACAATACATATCGTCCAATCTATTATGCACCGCCTCAAAAAGTGAAAAATTGTTGTCACAAACTTTAAAAAAGTCGTAATGTCAAATAAGTATCACAGATATTATTCCTTCGTCTATTTCTAAACTATAGTATAGGCAGAAGCAACAAAAGTTTCCGGCTCTCAAGAAAATTAGGTTTTCTATGGGGTGCAATCTATTGTGCACCGCGGTGTATGGGGGTTATCGAATGGTCCATTTTTGGGGCTGGCGCCAAACTGGTGCTATTTGGCTTCAGATGGCGCGCTGATTGATTTCACCAAATCTGTTTCAAAGTCTTTGTAGCCTACGACCCAGCCCAGGAAAAGCGAGTGATAGCGGTGTAGTGGGTAAACCAAGCACTGTGTGGCAAAAGTTGAAGTGTGTGAGATCACAGAGTGAGTGGCCTCACTAGAGAGCCCTCCACTCTTCAATTTTTAGTTCTGATTCCGATCCAGTGAGATGTATTGTTTTGAATATGGGCTTATAAACATTTGCATTACCCCGCAAACAACCTAATATTTTATAGAGTTTGATGTCCAGAGCAGTGGTCGGCCCTATCGTTGTTACTTTTTGAAAATTTTTTACGACCCCCCTCCCCCAAGGTGGATTTGATACGACCCCCTTTTCCACACCTCGACCACCATATCCTCTCTATAGTATTTAATTCTGATACCACTCAACCCACCAAACTCCGCCCACTTTTTCCTCCAAAAATGCCGTCGAGCGGGGGGGGGGGGGTATATAGCTACTCTGAAACAGTAAAAATTTTCCAAACTTCCTATATTTCCACCATTTTACCCTTACTTTAAGCGCGCTGAAACGGCAATTTTTTTCCTGCGCGCCCACTCACCCAGCCTACTACCCACGAAAACTTAGTTTCACCTCAATCCCACACGTGATTTCGAGCGACTGAAAGTGGGTACGACCCCCCTCCTACAAACTCAACCAGGTACGACCCCCCCGTTGTTACTCGTAACAACGTAGGGTTGACCCTGGTTCATAGTTGGAGCTATAATGCGCTTGGATTGCCGAAAGCATTCCACGCTTAGAATGTCTCAAGAAGAGTAGGTAAGATTGGCCTCTCATCAAAGCGTTTAGGTGCAAGCACAATTGGGTTCGACAAGAATACGCCTCGGCTGGGAAGTTGACTACACTGACCAATCAGTACTGTTCACCGTTTCTCAATCAAGAAAGCCACTTGAATACGTCATTATTGGCTTTTCCGATCACGGCTTCCTAAACAACTCCGACATTTGCATATACCAAGATGGGCAACTGAAGGTATTTTTACCTGGATCGACGACATAGCTAACTCCTTCTTCTAAATAGATTTTCAGGACGCATACATCGATGGTGACTTTCAAATCCAGTTCGACCGAAGTCAAGATTGCCAGTTAGAGGGACATCGAGGAAATAAGTTTCAATTCAGGCGTCGTTTTAGCACCTGTGATCCCAAAGACTTTGCCTTTGAGGTGATCAAGGCTACTAATATTACATGCGATCAAAACAAGATGTAACATACTTCTTCAAACTTTTGGCGTAGCATGAAGGTTCACACTTCCCCGGATGCATCACGGGAATATATTATGATACAGTACTCGCCGTTTGAAATCGAAAATTCACGCGAATAACGCGAATCCTCGTTAATTTCGTGAATTCGTTATAACTCGGTTCAAAATTGAGATTTTCGAAAATCTGAAAAAAGCGTTGAACTCAGCTCGTCGAGTTCTATAAGAATATGCTTTTAAACTTTTAAAAGCCCTACTTCAGATTGCGCCATGCACTCGAGCTTTGGCTCGAGAAAAAATTGTTTGAATGTGGTGCGCATATAATCCCGCTTATGCATTATGATCTTTCTTCAGAGAGATGGGTCTCAGTAGTTGCTCCAGAACGCGCCGCGTATTCAACATGGTTCATTGTATTGTGAAAGGATCGATTGCTTTTTTTCAGATTTCATGGTCCCTATTCCATAGCGGCTGGCCGCCGCGGGTTTGGAGGACTCTAAAATGGTTACATGTGACTTTGCGGGCTTCAACAAGAGAAGTTGGAAATCATAAGATTGGCAATTTTTCAGCAGGACCCGGTTAGCGCTATTTTGTGTTGGAATTTTCGCTAAAAGATTGGGGTGAGCGAGAAAGGTTTTCCGAAATCTGAGGGGGGGTAGCGGGGAAATTCCTTCACAGTTGTAGAGTACGCTTACTTGTGTGTAGAAATGAGATGATACGCTTGCTTGTAGACGAGCGCTTCCGCCGTGCTGTGGCTGTGAACATGCCTCCTCGTCATGCCCTTGTGAAAAGATCAGATTTTTTTGCATTTCCAGATGAGCTCGCAGAACTGAAATGTGCCCCGTTAGATTCCCCGTGAAAAATGCTATCGAATGATATGCATTACTCCTCCCAGTTGAAACTTTGGTTTTTCACCGTTTTCAGCCTTCCCCTATTGCCGGATTGGGTGGGCACTCACTGTTCCACTGTTACTGCCCC